AGTGTGTGTGTGTGTGCTTGTGCGGCTGTAGGTGTTGGTGCCGAGGTGCGTGTTGCTTTTATACAACGAAAATCACACCAACACCTATACCCACCCACACGCCACATCCACACCCACACCCTCGACTTTATCGAAAATTGGCCCCAAAAATTAGTCCGTTTTATTTTTCAGGAACGTTCTTCGAAAGTTTTGATTTCGCCATTGGATAAACCATAAAAGCTTTTCTCTGAATAATAATTTTCAGTTATATCTCGAAAACTCACAGTTTGGAAGCGTTTGCAACAATGGAGAAAATCTTACTTTATGCTTAATCTGATTTTGCTTATAAAATTCATAAAGTAAACTGGAAACCTCTGCATATTGAATTCAAAATGAAGTATATACGATGCGGGTGTGGGCACGGTTGGATGGAATGTGTGTGGGGTGAGAGTGGATGTGAGGTGTGAGGGTGTTCAGCCTTCGCCCATAACTAGATCCAACTACAACCACCAACACACCCTTACCCACATCCATTTCATCCACACCCACCCTCATCCACATCCCACCCACATCCACGCCCAACCCACATCGACACCTACATCCACCCTAGCAATGTATACCCAGCATTTCTTATTCGGCGTTTTTTTGTTACATTGGTATACGTGTTGATTCATTACTAAAAGTGATTGTCCTTTATTGGAATTAATGAAATTTAAATCATCGTTCATGTTACGTGTTGATTCAATGGTGGTCATCATTTTTATAATGTTTCTCGAACAATCAACAAGTGAAGATGCTTATTCTTCATTATCTAGTTCCTTGTATGGAATGGTCAATAGTCTAATCGAAGAATGATAAATTTACAATAAGATATGTCAATATTCATCATAAAATAATGACATCTGCATCGTATATCTTTCGAAACAGGTTCCCTTTATAAAATTTTCTTTGTTTTGCGACAAAGTTTTATTGCGCTGTTCTTACTTTCGATACTTTAATCTTGTCATTTTTCTTGTCAGCATTTATACTATCAACCAAATCCAAGATTACCAGACTCACATTCATTAATAATGCAGTGTCAACAAGTAATAATAATAAATGAAAGTTTTCCATCAACGTTCGATCAACCATTTTACTTATATGTAGATGCAAATGGTAAAGGAATATTAGTATCAAAGATATAATTGAAAAAAAAAGAATACAAACGAAATACGGCGTTAAATGGTGTTTTATTTGTATTAGTGTTAAAAAATAGATATGATTATATAGAAAAAAAAGGAAAATAAAAAATGATCATTTCGTTTGTTTGTATATTTATATATTATACGTTGATAATTATAGTCTAGATCAAAATTAACAAATAGGATTAAATTACAAAGTTCAATTTCGTTTTATCACCAAAATATGATTAAAAGAAACAATATGAAATGTATTAAACGAATATCTCATCATCATCATCAATATCACGATTCATGTTAAAAGATCGATTTCCTCCTCCCCCATGGTTGAAGTCATAAACTAAATCACGTATTACACGTGCGCGATCATCTGTTTCATTGTAGTTAAATGGAATAAAACCGCTGTGACTATATGGATAACTACGTAATGGATATGAATGATGTTCTGGTATACTAAAAGAAAAAATCAGACAGACAACAAGAGACAAAGAATTTACAATTAATATTCTTCTCAATTATAAACAAACCGTCTTGGATGAATATAACCATTTGATCTTTCAGTGAAATATTTCGAACGAGTTTGATCGTTACTATAAGTAGAAAAATATGATAAAATAGTTATGACGAACTATAATAACAGAAGAAATCTGTCAATAAAAAGTAATTGTAATTTAATGTCATACTTAATTCTATTACAAAAAAAGAACATAGCAGTTATTATTTTCCTCTCTTCTATATGAGAGTAATTTATGAATTGATTGCCTATAAATTAATTATGCATTATTTCTTTACTGACCCTAATGCATGAGAATTGAAAAAAAAACAAATTTATTTCATTGATATATCAACATTAAAATGAAAGAAATGGTTAATCGAGTGTTAATGTTTAATTTTCCTTTTTGATGTTTCCTACTGATGAAAGAATCTTCCAGAAAGTACATACAGGTAAGAATTGCATGCTTTGACTTGATGGTACCCCTTCTTGAACATTTACTGAGCAAAAAACTTGGTTGCTCAAATATGCTGCTCTTTTTTTTTCTTCAATAATGTTTCATTAAAACAAAACTAATGTCTAAAAGACAAAGCATGAATTTCATAAACAAACTAAATATAATGTACCGCTAATTTTGTTGATTTTTAAGTAAACTATTGTATTTTGATCAAAAACGAAAAAAACACTTCTGTACAGATTTTATATAAAAACCCAACAATTATCATGCTACTGCAAAATAACCATTAACTATCTACTGATGTAGCATTATCTTCGATTATTTCAACGTCATATTTACATTTCACAAAATCATATTAAGTTTATTTTCAATTGAAATGCACTTGCAATTTTCATCGAAATTGTATGCAAAAGAAAACAAAAAATCCATAGCAAGTATTCGAATGTTCAGATATCCTTGAGTCTCAACTGTTTCGATTTCTTCAATCTCGATGAAGCCTAACACATCTACAGGTCTCGCACCGGTCCTTCTTTCCTTCTTTTTTCCTTCTATTTTTAGAATGTCCTTCTTCGTCCTTCTTTTTTACTTTTCAAACGAATAGGCTCTCAGAAACATTGAAAAAACTTATTATCAATATTTAGTTAGAGTCCGACACTCAGGAGTGGCGCGATCGGGGGGTGTCGGGGGTGCGGCACCTCCCAATCTTCAAAAATTTCTCTTTTTTGCTCAACAAAATCAGGGAATTTTCTTCCATTTGTCACCAAAAATAATGTTACCCCCCCCCCCCCCCCTAGAAATGGCAAACCCCATCTTTTTAATCCAAAAAATTTCCCTCCCCCCCCCCCCCCCCCAATGTTGGTTGACTTGCGCCACCCCTGCCAACACTGATAGGGAGTTCTCAGAGCTGCAGAAAGTGTTTAATTTACCTCAAGCCAAATGAAAAGTTCGTCACACTTAGGCTAAGGTGCACATGTGGCACTTCAACTTAGGTGGCATCGACATGCAGGACTTGAGATTTGTAAAATGCTGCTTCTCTAGAATTTGGTCACTGCTGAAAATTTCGGGCATATACTTAGTGACGAAGCATAGCCGAA